TTCTTGACTCCAAAAGTCATCATTTTTTAGGGTTCCATTCCTCCATTAGCATCAATTGTGCACTCCTTATTTGGTTTATTGTCTTGTACCTGGGAAGAATCACTCTATTGTTTCCATTTTATTTTTCTTTATGATGTGATTGTGTCAATTTTGTCAAATTCTTATTTTGATCTATCTTCTTTTTTAATGATTCATTTTCAAAATAAGTCTGAATTTAATTTTTTTTTTTCTTAAGAACCTCTATCGGATTTAACTACTTGTATAATGTTTCCTTTGTCCCATTGACCATTGTACTCTCATCTTGATCGAGGGGCAGGGAGTGGGTGTGGGGGGGGGGGGGGGGGAGAGATAGACATACCCCATAATATTAAAGTATTTTGCGAAAATAGCATTACTTAAATCAACATTTATTAGGCTTAATTTTATATATCTAATTACATAAAAATCACTCAAAATGATATGGAAGACTGGTTATGTAAATTCTATTAAATTAAATGATATTTTTGCAGCCAAAGACCTTGTGGTCAAGAGGCATAACTGTGGTCCTCACAAATGAGAGGTTAGAGTACATTGTAACATAGTCAATATAGTACTAAAAAATGATACTTTTTGCAAAGATAAATAATATTAAAATGTGATAATTCATAGTGAGATTAATTAATTATTTAATAGAAAATAAATTTTAAAATGATATGTTTAACCTCAAAGGAAATGTATATTATTTGATGTATTATTATTTTTTTAAATTATCTATTTCCTTAACAAATACGGAGTAGTAAAATGAAATAAAAATGAAAGTGAATAGTAAAGTTTTAAATTGTAACTTTTATTGGTTTGTGAAAAGATGAAAATATATAATGCTGGTGCATGAACATCAACAAGGTTACATCTCTGACATGTTAGAACTTATAAATGCATATATTCATCATCTTTGTCTTGAATTTTGAAGCCTTCGTAAAATTGTGTGTTTATTTTTGTATTAATTTACTCTATTTTATGGTTTAGATGTTTCAAATTGATAGTATTCGATTTTTATTTACGGAGCATTTATTTATTTAGAACTATTCGCCGGTCTTTTTTTTTTTTTTTTTTTTTTTTTTTTTTTGTTGAAAATTTCGCCAGAGAATGGTCGGAACCCTAATGACCTGTGATAACAGATTATTAACCTATATTTGGGCTTTTTTGCATCAAAATAAAGTGTTGATGGGTGTAATTACATCTTTAAAAAGTTTAGGGGGTTAATTAACTTTTCAGCTAAAGTTTGAGTGCCTATTTGACCCTTTTTTCTTAAATAAATAAATATCAAAACTATTTAAGGTTAAAAAAGAATATAATATTAAGAAAAAAAAAAGAGTATATCGTGAGTGTAAACATTCATAGGAATTACAATAAAAGTTAAAAAATGAAAAATGGTGGCTAGTGTGTCATTCACTAAAGCATAAACAACTTTTGTGAACACGATCCGGTATCGGAAGTAGGGTCAACAATTATATACTCTCATTGCCCCACTTCTTCTCTACATCAAATGTATTGTTCATAGGATGTGAACCACTTTGTCTAATAGCGCAGATGAGGTGTTTGGCTTCCTAAAAAGCACAAATTTTGTGATCTCGAATAGAGTTCATAAATTAAATTATATTATCAATATAATATTACACATTATGAAATTAAATAAATGTCAAATGAGTAGAAGATAATGAAATTATAAAGAAGGTATGGATAATAGAAGTAATCAATATATCATAACAAATGTACAATATAAATTGGGGAAATGATGTATTTATCCAAAATTGTATGTTAATAGTTAACATAGTACTTGGAATTGAACGATGTATTTATCCAAAATTGTATGTTAATAGTTAACATAGTACTTGGAATTGGATTATGCATGTATATTATCCCCTCAATTTTTTTTCTGTACTGCGGTTGAGACTTGAGAGCAACATTACGAATTTGGGTCAATAACTTCATTTACCTGACTTTGAACTGTTGCTTTTAAATATGATGCATGTATATGTTTTACATCTTGTTGCTACTTTTTTTTTTTTGTTGATATGTTGTAATATTCTACGATCAAAATATGACTTTGATTGCTACCTATGCATGTATAATGAAATAAAGTTGTTCATTCGTTACTAGTTAAATATAACTTTTGACGTAGTAATAAGCATTTGATCTTGACAATTGCTATAAGAGCAAGTTACGAATTCAATATAATTAAAGTGGTTGGCATGTGTTGGGAGAGAGGCTTACCATCAAAACATGGTAAGCGCTTAATCATGACAAAATTCAATTTAGTGTAGACTAAGATTACAATTAAGATAATAATTTTATGAAAAAAAGTGGAATAGTTCAAGATCAAAGTTAACTTTAATTATTAAATGTATAACTTAGCAACATTTAGATGCAAGATTCAATGTACAAATACTTCACTTTTCCCTTTGCGCTCTTTTTATCATCAATTAATCATTAATTTAATCTCAAATAATGCAATTAATCATTAGTAATGATAATAATAATAATAATAATAATAATAATAATAATAATAATAATAATAATAATAATAATAATTTTTTAAACCATTAATTTTATTCAAATGATTATTAAGTAATACATTGTACATTGTCTAAAAGGAAAAGACTCAGCTCACTACTTGAAAATATAAGTGATATAAGCTTTTCCTTTATTATAACGCAGTAATTTTTTTTTTTTTTTTTTTTTATAAGTAAACACAAAAATTTCTGAGTTTATATATCCAAACTCAAATTTGGCTACAACCAATATGCAAACTAAGCTAAATTGTTATTAAAATGTCAAAATAAACACGAATAGAAGAACCACGGTTTAAAAAATATTACTTTTTGTACCTAAAAATGTTGATTATTAGAATACAAAGTAATGAAATTTATTTATAATTTTCATAAGTTATGTAAATATTTGAACATACACCACTTTCTATTTTGAAATATGTGGTTGTATTTATTTTGATATTCAATTTTTCATTCTCCATTATTTAGTTTCTAAACTGAAAAATGTATAATTAAACGTATTCTTTGTTTTATATTTTTAAAAATTAAATAATTTTTTTCAATTAATAAATGCACCCTAATATTTCAATATGCAACAGACGTGAATGACCTATTATATATGTACTAGTAATAATAATTTCCTACTATATGCTTATTTTTTAAATCCATTTTTTCATTTTATTCTATTCAACTCAAGTGCTTTACTTATTCTATTCAACTCAATTTAAAATTTCAATCACGAAAATTGGATTTTCTTTTGAAAAAAAAACAAATATTTCTCGAATCACTAAAATTTAATACGAGTCAACAATATTAGCTCTTAACTAGAATGAAAATTAAATGTTTGTTCTTTGTGTTATCTGTATTATTCATTTACACCTTTAAAAAAAAAATTACCATTCACATTTTTCCTCTTGATCTTTATTTTAATGTTAATCCTTAAAATGAAATTAAAAATTTGTTAGCACTATAAGTGACATTAAATGCTTATCTCTGAGTATTCCAAAAAAAAAAAAAAATGCTTATCTTTGATACTCTTTGTTCTGTATATTTATAATTTTTACCAAGTTTACCCCAATATTTTTTATTTTATCAGTTCTATCCTTATTATGTAATATACAAACATATAATACATATGTTTATATGTAGTTTTAATAAATATAGTTTAATTTAATAATAATTTTAATTAATGAATAATTTGTATTTATTTTAATATGCTTTTCTTATTTGAAAATTTAACTTCTATTACTTTTAACTTTTTTTTTTATTAATTAAAACTTTTTTTTTTTTTGGGTAAAAGAGTGTTTTTTTCATTTATGTATTATTTGATGTGGATTGTAGAATATATGCTTATCATCAACAAAACATATTCATTTAATTTATTATGGTATTGATATCAAAATCTAATTATAATAGAAACAATTATAAGAATAACTAATTCCATTTGCTAAAAGCTAAATTTAATATTTTTGGACCACAATACCTACTAAGTTCAATGCATTTCTTAAAAAAAAAATACTAAATAATAATATATATTAGGAAACATTGACACTTTTTCCCTTGAATGATATGTTTATAATGTTTTTTCCCATGAATTATTCATGTATTCACATTTGCCACTTCAATTATTTTAAAAGTGACGCTGTTTTCCCTTCCTATTAAATAGGTTTTTGGATAGTTAAAAATAAGGGGGAAATATGTATTTCATTTTTTTCTTCTCTTCTCCAAATTTTTTTTTGCTTAGAGAATAAGAATTCAGAATAAATACGAAAAGGAACAGACACCATTTACAAATATTATATGTATAACTTTAACCTAATGCTAGCAACAAAATTACAACTTAACCACAAACAATTCATTATTAATAAATTTGTATTTAAGTATTAATTATGTTACTAGCATTAGTTTAAAATAATAATTAAAATATTTGTAAATGATGTTTTTTTTTTTATTGCATTTATCATGATTTCTGCATATAAGCAACAATTTGTTGGAAAAGGAAAACGACTTGAAATACATGTTTTGTCCTTATTTGTAACAATCTAAAAACCTATTTAACATGGAGAGAGAAAATCGTCACTTTTAAAATATTTAAGGAGAAATTCAAGATGGGAAAAAACTACAAGCATATAATTCAAGAGAAAAAAAAAAAACTAAAAAAAGTGTTATTTCCCCAATTTCTTATCATCTGAAATTAAAATTCCATCTTCTAATATTTATAAGATTCGTGTCATCATGTGCTCCTTTATTTATTTCGATCATTCAATCATTGACATTATTTAATCGTCCATGGTGTGTATTTACCACTAGTATTAATAAAAAAAGATAAAGAGTCATATCAAACAATAGCAAAAAAATGATGGTTTGAATTTTAGAATATTATAATTTGGGGTATAACAGTAAAGTATTATGTATCCACAAAGTGATAGTTTTCAATCAAACCATAAACTTGGATGAAATTTTCAGTCAAACGCAAAATGCACACCCAACGGCTATAATTCCGGTGTGGCTTTCTTTCTCTTCAACATCTTTACCTGAGATTCAAGAACCAGGAGAATTCATCGGAACTGAAATGCCACAAGCTCAAAATTTCCTCTGTCTTTGTGGAACATCTCATTCCCAATAATTTTTATAAAGTCAGTCTCGCTTGCCCATTTACCTCTTGATTCTTTCAGTTTGTAAAGAATCCACTCTCCTTTGGGAAAACAATAAAAAAGTAGTAGAGCAACACGTCTTTTCACCCCAACATCTTCTGCATTCTGCATTCTCCCCTGGGGTGTAATTTGCTTTTCTTTTTTTTTTTTTTTTTTTTAAGTTTAATTTTTGTTTTTCATTTTGATGATTTTGGGGGGTTTTGTCAGTGATAATCTTGAAAAGCTCTCATCTTTGGAGTTTCTTGATCATACCCTCCCTCTCCCCCATTAGGGCATCTCCTGTGATGTAATCTGTCTTGGAAGACAAAGTTTGGGTCTTTCAGGCTGGTTCTTTGGATCCAAATCTGTTTCTTGTTTCAATTTTTAATTTTTTTTTTTTGGTATTTTATAGATTTTGTTTTTTGTGTGTGTTTGTGTGAATATGTTTAGCTTCATTTTTTCTCTTTAGGATTATTTTTGGGTCCAGTTTTTCTTATATTTTTGCCTATCCAATATCCATTGTTCCTATATATATTTGTTAAATTGTTTATTGGAGATAGGAACCTTGTAGGCAATAAGATAAGAGGAGAAAGGGATCCTTGAAGAATTTATAAGGGTAAAAGTTAAGGCTATATAGAAAGAAAGAAGCTTCACAATGTCTGCTGTGGATTTGGCTTTGTCTAGTCCTTTTGAAGAAGAGTCAGTGAGGTCTAGCAGGCACAGCAATGGCACGAACGAGTCGATTGTGATTTATATAACGGTGGGTGGTTTCGTGATTCCCATGCGTGTTTTGAAGTGTGATTCCATAGCTTCAGTGAAGCTGAGGATACAAACATGCCAAGGGTTTGTAGTGAAGAGACAGAAGCTAGTTTTTGGAGGGAGGGAGCTGTCCAGGAATGATTGTTTGGTGAAGGACTATGGTGTTGTGAATGGGAATGTTGTGCACCTCATTCTTAAGCTCTCTCATCTCCTTATCATCAATGTTAGCACCACTTGTGGGAAGGATTTTGAGTTCCATGTTGATAGGCATCAGAATGTTGGGTATCTCAAGCGAAAGATTGCCAAGGAAGGGAAAGGGTATTTCGATCTCGAGGATAAGGATCTTTTCTGTAATGGCGAGAAGCTTGAGGACTTGAGGCTCATTGATGATATCAATAAGAACACTGCTGATGCTGTGGTTCACTTGGTAGTTGAGAAATCGGCTAAGGTTTGGGCGAAGCCCGTTGATAGGGACGTTGAGCTGTCTGTTGTTGCAGCTAATTCGAATTCGAATTGGAACGAGAAGAAGCCAGAAGTTACCAGAGAGCCTACCCGAGATCTCCAAGCTTTGTCCAGAAACAAGTCCTCCCCACATGGAGGAGATGTCCTTTTGGAGCCAATTATTGTGAATCCAAAGGTTAAATTGGCTCAGTCTTTGTGGGATATAATGGATTCTGCACTTGATGGGTTGGTGAAAGGCAAAACGCCTATTAGATCGTCTGAAGGCACCGGGGGAACCTACCTTATGTTGGATGGATCAGGGAAAAAGTATGTTGCTGTGTTTAAGCCTATCGACGAGGAACCGTTGGCTGTGAATAACCCTCGGGAGCTACCTTTGTCATCAACCGGTGAGGGGCTCAAGAGGGGAACCAGAGTCGGGGAAGGTGCCTTTAGGGAGGTTGCAGCCTTTTTACTCGACCATCCAAAGACCGGCCCTCGCTCAGGCGGGGAGATTGGGTTCTCCGGGGTGCCTCCCACAGTCATGGTTCAGTGCTTGCACAATGGCTTTCACTACCCGGATGGATTCCAGTGGTCACCCGAGAACATCAAAATCGGTTCACTCCAGTTGTTCAAGAGTAACTATGGGAATTGCGAGGACATTGGACCTCAGGATTTCCCGGTCGAGGAGGTGCACAAGATCTGCATCTTGGATATTAGAACTGCCAATGCAGATAGGCATGCCGGGAACATTCTCGTCAGCAAAGGTGAAGACGCCCGCACTTTGCTTACACCAATCGATCACGGCTACTGCTTGCCCGAGAAAGTAAGCCCCCCCCCCCCCCCCCCCCCCCCCCTTTTATCTTACATCTATTTGATGCATATGGTAATTGAAAATACTGCATTGTAACAGAATCAATAGTTTATGAACAGATACTGCATTGTAACAGAATCAGTAGTTTATGAACAGATACTGCATTGTAACAGTATGAACAGATACTGCATTGTAACAGAGTTAGTAGTTATGAACAGATACTGCATTGTAACAGAGTCAGTCAGTAGTAATAATATGTGAGTTTGGTTCCACATTTTTGTGCAGTTTGAAGATTGCACATTTGATTGGCTGTACTGGCCACAAGCCCGGAAGCCATTCTCAGCAGAGGCGATCGAGTACATAAAGACGCTGGACGCTGAGGAAGACATTGCACTTCTGAGATTCCACGGGTGGGAGCTGTCGTTGGAATGTGCTCGAGTGCTGCGTATCTCCACCATGCTATTGAAAAAAGGGGCAGAGAGAGGACTGAATCCTTTCGCAATTGGGAGCATGATGTGCAGGGAGAACCTGAACAAGGAATCCTCGATTGAGGAGATAGTTCGCGAGGCTCAAGAGTTGGAGTCCATGGAGTCGATGGCTGCTCGGGGCAGTAAGAGTGAAACTGAATTTCTTCAGACTGTGTCGGAGCTCATGGATGTCCGGCTCGAGAGCCTATTGAAGAAGGATGATGATGTTGATAAGTATGGTAAAAAGTAATATATGTGTGTATAGAAGAAGAGAGAATGGCCAGTGAAGTCCATAGATGGACAGAAGGGTCCTAATATATAGTGATTATAGGTGGATGATCAACTCTTTTGTGTGTGGTCTGAAGCCCCCTTTTTTCTCCCCTTTTTGGATCAACTTTCTCACACTATGTGACTCTTTGATATGTTTAAGGGAGAGAAGTTGGATAATAAGTAAAAATAAAGTTTGGTTAGATATGGATTCTCCTTCCTTATCTGCTCTTCTCTTCTTAGTATCATTATCCAATTTCTGCAAATTCTCTTCTATAAAACTTAGCCACATTTTGGGAACAAGGAGACTTAGAATTAACCATATGATAATAACATTTATTTGGAGTCTGGAGATGTTATAGTATTAGGGCCCCAATGCTCCAACATTGTCTACTCTCATAATAGAATACGCCCAAAGGCTTAATAATCCCTACACTATGCCCCAGCATATGTAGTGGCAAGTTACGGTCCACACACATTCGTCTAAAATGATATCGTTTGATGTTTTTTTTTTTTTTTTTTTTTTTTTTTTTTGTTTCGTGTGCGTGTTAGAAGAGTTCAAGAAATATTGAGCTTTGTAAATTTTCACCACCAAAGAGTGACGATTCTGAATGATCTTCCAAGATTGTTTGCTTACCATGCCTAAGTTGAACTCCCGAAACTTACGAAATCCCAGCGCCACCCCCCCCCCGACGTTGTTGTTAGGCAGAAGTCAGTAAAGGGTCGAGTCTAGCACCGGGTGGTTGGGGGGATTGTTGGGCGGAGGCCGGTAAAGGATAAAAAGGTGAAGTTCAACACCCAGCGTGTCTCGAACAATGTGATGACGGTCTACAAGTAAGAAAATAAAATTACATCTTCGCTTCCAGCTATAGCTTTTGGCGTGAGTAGTAAGCGTTTGATCCTAACCAATGGTATCGGAGTCACATGGTACTGAAACTCTAGAAGAGAGAAATTATTGGGTGGAGGCCATTAAAGGGCTGAGTCTAGCACCCAACACACCCAAAATATTCCCCACTAAATCCCTTAGATGGATCCCCTAATGAAGCCCCCTAGAATGAAACATTCAGCCACAAGAATAAATAAATAGGGATAATGGATCCCTGACGAAGCCCCCTAGATGGAATTATTGGTCCAACTTCATTCCCCTGATTTAGCATAAAGTAACTCACATTCTAAAATCAGATTGACCCATCTCTGAGCAAAACCCAAGCTGCCATCTAATAATTGTGATTCATCAATTTTTAGATTTAGGGATTTGAAATTGTCAAATTTTAATTAATAATTAAAATAACTAAAAACAAAAAATTCAAATCATTACGGAGTATAATCAATTGAAGCCGATCAAAATAAGTGTGTAACCAAAATGTCTGAAACCAAACTTCAAGGGGCCGTTTGGTTCACGGAATGTCAGATTACCTTAGGGAATGTTGGATTGCTGGGGATGTTAGATTCCTGTGTTTGGTAAAAATTGAGTTATATAATATAAACATGTTTGGTTGAAATATTGTTATTTATGTTATAATGATTATTTTACTTTAATACCCTCAATATATTTTAATGCATTTCAATATTCCAATGCATGTAACCATACAAAATTTGATATATATATATATATATATATATATATATATATATATATATATATATATATATATATATTCATTCCTTTATCCGAAAAGTTGACTCGTGGCTTCATACATACAGATTCTTTAATTTCTACAAATTCAAATGTGGCTTCTACAAAGTTGATTTTTCATGTTAAGCAAAGTGAACTTAGCTTGCTTGCTTTAACCGAAAGGTTAATTTCGAATTTTTTTTTTAAACTTTTCGGTAAAAAACAAAGCAATGTGATGGATAGTGAAGGGCAAAGTTAGTAAAATGCCAAGGGAATCTTTTAATACCTAAAAATTCTAAGGGAATCACATTCCCTTCAAAAGAGGGAAAAAGATGATGTGGAGGGTAAATTTTATTCCATGGGAATGTTGCATAACTCCAACCAAACATAGGAATCTTATATAACCAACTAAATATAACCTTGATTATCTTAGATAACCCGAACCAAACGCCCCCCAAGATGTTTTTTCGGTCGATTATTCATAACCGACTGTTATGTTCAAATGCCAAACTGATTTTTTTTTTTTTTCAATTGTCGTTTCCAATAAACAAGAAAATGAAGCAATACCTCCACAAATTGTTAAGTCGAGGTGTGAGAACGCCAAGAGTCACCTTTTATCACAAGAAAATAAAGCAATAGCTCCTAGGCAACAATTGCATAACTTCAAAATTAATAATAGCTACACCAGGTATATCCCGAAAACGATTCTAAGCAAATGAGAGGGGAAAAAAAAAAAAAAAAACAAGTCCCATATAGTGATGAAAAGTTAGCCGAAAACTTAAAAATAAAAGTTAAAAGTTAAGAGCAGTTAAATTAGTTGGTTATAGTTAAAAGTTTTTGGTAAAATTACAAAAATAAAAAATAAAAAAAAAACTCCATAATAATAATAATAATAATAATAATAATAATAATAATATTATTATTATTATTATTATTATTATTATTACTACTACTACTAGTATTTGTCCCGTGCGATGCACGGAAAATATGTTATAAAAATATACACTATATGAGGTTTATTCATATATAAAATTTTTGTTATTTAATAATTATTATGTGTGAATTCCTATGATAAAATTATGAACATAAATATATTTACAATTAAAATAATACTTAAGGTGGGTGATTACTACAAATCTTAAACTATATTAAAAATTTAGTACATAGTATTTAATATTATAAATTTTTAAGAACTTAGTAAATTACAATAGTAATTGAATTACAATTTTAGAGTCACCACGGATCAAAATTTTTAGACCTTTGAGATTTCTAACTCTAGATGTAGCAACATACAATTGACCTTCAAAGACCAAAATCACAATCTTAATTAGTTAGAACATTGATTTTTTTCTTCCAAATACTATTGAATTAAGTGTATAATCAATAAAAGATGAGAACTAATAATTCGAAAATACAATCTTAATGTTACTAAGCCTACTTCACGTCAATTAAGTTTGAGCGTGTTGTTGGATAGTATCCGATGAATCCACGAATAGCGCATCTTTGTCTCCGTAGTCCTCAATATGCACATCAACAATCTTAAATATTAAGCCACATAGCTATGCTATATATTAATTTCAAACTTATGGACTTTGGGTTGCATGCATGGTTCTTAAAGCCATATGGCTTTAAGATGTGAAAATTAAATGTTGCATTTAATTTTCACATTTTAAAGCACATTTAATTTTTACAAGACTTTCACATCTTAAAGTCATATGGTCTTGTGAAAATTAAATGCAACATTTAATTTTCACAAGACCATATAGCTTTATTATATACTAGTATTGTACCCGTGCGATGCACGGTCTATAAATAAAATTTTAATTTATTGCGTTATTGTAATAAACAAAAATAATGGAATGGATATAGGATAATTTGTTACTTGAAATGTTCAATAATTTGGTATTGATGCAATTATTGACCACACCAAAACTGATAAATGTTAAAAAGCAAACCTAAAAGTTCACAAATCCTTCACTTTCTCAACTTTAACAACAAACTTCTTAAGACTTTTTTGAACAGTGTTAATGAAAACTTATCACTGTCATTCACATCTTCATTTTCCTACAAAAATTTCTATATAAACAGATAAACAATAAATAAATTTAATAAAATTTGAAATTAAATAAGGGCAATACTAAACAAAAATACCAACCTACTGAAACAAAAAGAACCAATAACGTCTCTCCACTAAGGCTCAAACTCACAACCTTCCAAATGGAAATCCAATCCGGGTACCATTCAAAAAACAAAAATACCAAACTCATCATCCCCAATATAACTTATTTAGATCATGTTAATATTGAATATTTACAAAGGCACTAAATTGAAATTAAATTGTTCTGCATTTGGTATTGAGTGATAGTACTATTTGTACGAACTAAATATTTATTAAAAATATACATTGATTTGTAATAAGACTACATAAGAATGATTTTACAATATAGGATAGTATCTCTAAGTGAAGAAACAAAAGAAATTCTACAAATTACTTCTCAAAACAAAAAAGAAATTTACAATTTACATAAATCATAATTTGTTTCATGCTCAATAACCTAACATTATTAATACAGTACACAATAAACTAAAACTCGCGTAGTTGACTACTGCTGCTTTGTACTTTGTAGAATGGCCTGTAACTGAAAACATACTTAGTTCCTGCATCAACATAATAGAGAGAATAATAAAGACTTAACAATATACACATTCATAAGGTAATAAGAAAAACAAAATGCTATTATAAAAAAAGAAAAACAAAATGCTAAAGCAATCTTGAAAACCATTGCAATACCACGTAATGCTTAAATTTCTGTTGGCAATTTCTTTGTTATTCTCTGTACAATAGACATATACAGAGAATAAGTTAATCATTAACTGGAAAATAGATTTAATACATACCTCCGGATATTTTTCTATCAGCTGCATTGCTGTCATGCGTATTAGTTCGTTGTAGTCTCTATCCCATAGAAGAAATGGTCCATTACCATCTTTATCTACGATCCTCACCACAAGGTGTAAGCTTCTTAATAAAAAAATAGCATGTAATCTTTTCTGTCTAATTATGCATTTAGACATAAATACAACACAGATCTATTTTATATTAACAATCCTGAGTTTACAACCTCAAACCTAATGAATAAAAATTCAAATTTAATATTCTAATGAAATGTACAACGGATATATAAGTATGTGTATCATACCAAATGACAGTGACTTTTCTTTCAAATTAAAAAAATGGCAATTACTTGTCTCCTCTCATAAACATCATAAATGGTATTGATCACCAATTCACCATTGACCTACTGGTGAATTCATCAAATGTGTTCTCATTAGATAATCTTGTTATTGTATTCACACTCCAAAGAGGAGTTTGTTCATCGGAAAAACTAAGTATGAGCATGCAAAAAGCATAATCCCTGCAATAGTATCTAGAATTACAATAGAGAAAAAATAAATTTATACATGTTATACTCCATGGGTATTATACACAGGTTACATATATACAATAGCATAAAGTACTGTTTAAGTAGTTAACATAAAATAGCATAAACAGGTTCTTAATTCTGGCGGGACTAATTTGCTTTTTATAT